ATTACCTACAATTCATCTTCATCCCCAAAGTTCAAAATATTCACTCACAAAAAGATATGAATTTCCATATTATAGGTCCTTTTGAAAAGTCAACAAAAACACATTTTGGGTCAAAGCTTCTTACATGAACATGGAAGGCCCAATCGAGATAATACCAAAAGGGTTGCTTAGGGGACATCATAAGCTTTCTAAAAAGTCCAAGAAAACCTTTCTAGGGTTAAAATTGGAAGATATATGTCTTGTCAAAGTTGACCATTTTTGCAAAATTGCTAAAAGTCAAATGTGCTCAAAAATACATTTTTTGTCAAATGGGCCTAGTTTTTCATGATTGAATCTTGCTTATGACATGTTCTACGATCCAAATCAACACCCACACATCTTTTTCTTTATTTATTTATTTTATTTTGATTTTTATCATTTAAAAGTCAAATTAAATCAAATAAATAGCAAAAAATATCAAAGATGTGTTTTGTGATCAGATTTTTGGTGGAATCAAATCCAATTAGGCTGACAAATCATATCCAAAACGTGCAAAACAAATTGAACCAAAATTGACATGATTTGGTTTGATATGGAAAGATATCATACAAGGATAAAGACCAAATCAAATCTTCATAATGGACCAAGATTTAGCTCGTTTTTGTTAACCTAATGTATTCCATTACATATACAGAACATATCAAAGGCACAAAGACAAGGATTGAGGCCGTGAAAGTTATCAAGAAAAACTCAAAATTTTGAAGAAAAAGTGTGGGTCGGTTTTCAATATAGAGGATGATTCAAGGTGATTGAAAGTGACCAATCCACTCATGGACATCCTCTGAAGCGATTTCAAGCATCACCAAGCCCCCACAAGCCCAGAAATGCGCTACACGACCATTACGGTTTGACTCTCTTTCCAAATTCGATTATTGCGATTCTTGCATCATAAACATGTTTTAATGGTATGTATGTGTTTATTATCATGTTTTCAACGTATTGGATTGGTTTAATTGATGTTTTAGTGCATATATTGATAGTTGTCGTTGCTAGGGTTTGAGGTCGTATTTTAGGGTTTCTTGATATAGGTACAATTAGGCCAAAAGAAGGATGCCATCATACTCGTGAAATCAAAAGGAGTTGATCTATATGCTTGGAATTGATTTATATTGCTTGTAGTAGATTTTGGAAATTTACAGGTTTGTAGCTACGGATACTGACTGTAGGTAAAAGTCTCTTAGCTAACACGACGGAGGGATGAGGAAGATAACAACGTGGCTGACCACCATTGGGCAATTTAATTATTCGCGCGTTTTCTGAAGCTCGTGACCAGTTTGCATTATTTTGTTTTCGTTTCAATATTATAACAAACAGATACATGTGGCCCAGTGGTGAATTGTGTGTTTGGAAAGGTAGAGGACTTGGGTTCGATCCCAGGTCCCAACATTTTCTTATTTTCTAACTTTATAACTACAGATCCTATGCATACGCGTCCCAGGGGCATACCATGCACTAACATCATCTAGCCAACAGATTCCTTATCAATCCAATCCAACGCCCACGCAAGAAAGGACCACGGTACACCAACATGAGGAGGCAACATGGAATCCAAGGCGTTGACTGGGCTTAGCCACTAATGGGCCCAAAAGTTCAGATCTACACCCCCTGATTGTTGCTTAAGCAGGCCCATCTCTAATCTTTTTTATTTTATTTTATTTCTTATTCTTTTATTATTTACTCAATTCTTTTTTTACAAAATAACAAAAAATCATTTTTTATCAAATCAAAATCACAAAAAAAAACATAAAAATATTTTTTATAAAATATTTTATTTTCTTGAATTAATTAGTCTAATTCTAATTAGGTTAATTCAATTTCTTTTTATAATTAAAACTAATTAAAAATTAGGGTTTTGTAAATAATTAATTTTTATTCAAAAATAACTTAAATATTTTTTTCTCAAATTAGATTTTTAGGGTTTTTCTAATCATCTTCGCATTTAACTCGCCGCGCGTATTTTTAATTACCCTTTTGATTATTATTTATGTAACTGTTTCGATGTTGTAATAGATTTTAATTAGGGTTTTAATTTCCGTATTTTATTTTCAGTTAAATAATTCTGTATCTGCGAAAGCCATGTAATAGTTAGGATTTTTGTTTCCGCATTTTTAATTTCCGCAATTATAAACTGTTAGATGTATGCTAATAGGATTGTATGGCAAAAATATCTGAAAATTAAAACGGTAGATAACTTAAATGTGCAAAGACAAATTAACTGAAAAAGCCCACTCACACATGCTCACTCCTAGGGTTTACTCCACTTCGGCTGCCTTCGGTTAAGCGGTCATGAAGTATAGGGTTTGTTAGTGGTCGTCCTCTAGCCCCAAAAGATCTCAAATGACTCATTCGAATGTTGCCTCAGAAACAGATCTTTAAGGCTTTAGGATGATTACTAACACCTCCTAACATTACTTTTGTGATCGTACATGTCCCTTCAAACGTCCCTTAAAACTCCAACGACGATGCTACCTATTCCTTAATAATGGGATAGTGATGTCTAAAGGAAAACGAACAGTCTTTTTCGAGTAGATAGATTAACTTTTAAGTACTTGCTCAAACAAATAATTTTTTTACACCAACACCTTTCAAAACAATTTTCAAAATAACTTCGTCTCATCCTTGAGGACTGATACAAGGGTTATCACAAAGTAAACTTTTTTTCAAAACAAGCACACACACAAGCAATTTCAAAATGAGCAAGTACCTAAGAGCCCATGGAAAAACATGGATAGAAAGGGTGCTAACACCTTCCCTTTCTATAATCTACCCCCGTACTCAGAAATATTCTCGAAAAAGGTTTTTTCTGTTCTTTTTCCTTTTCCTGATTGGATGAAATAAAAGTCGGTGGCGACTCTTGCTTACCGTAACATTTTGCAAACAAAAAACGCAAAACGCAAACCAGTAAAACCAGTTGATTCTGCCACCGTATCACAGTACCTACGTGAAAACTGAACCAAAAGTTCTAATCAAATTCTGACTTGGAAATACTCAGAATTTACTAAGTGTTTTAGTTTCATGGACGTGTCTTCAAGAATTTATAACTTGAAATCCCAGCATTTCTAGGAGGAGTTCTGTTCTGCAATGTTTTAGATCTCATTGAGATCTACAACTTCTGTGTCAGAAGTTCTTCCTGAATCATCTTGCATCATGATGAAAATCTGGCCAAAAGTTCTGAACTTATCATATTTTCTTAACACTTAGAAAAATTTCTAAGTGTTTAGAACTTTGACTTTTCCAAAGTAATTTTGACTTTTGATTTTCTTGGTGAACCAATTTCATATTCTATCATGTCTTGATGAAATGTGATTCTTGAAACTTAATTTTGATCAAAAAGTCAAAGTTTGACTTTTCAGTGTGCATTTTGGCCATTTTGCCCTTGTGGCAATTCCAAACCTAATTTGATGTATCAGTGTTGCAAACTTGAGTCATGAAAGATCTTGTGAGGAAATTCTTGAGAAATGAGAGGGCAAATTTTGGGGTACAACACCAACCACCCGCTTTCAATCATCCCATCATCCCCTTGTCTGATCCTATTCAAATTCAACCATCAAACAAACCCTCTTTCTATCCCAAATCTCAAACGCCACATCGTTGAACTAAAACCATGTACCAAAAACTTCTCCTCTCATCTAACACCCCCCAATACCATTTTCCTAATAAAGCATCATTAAATTCCGTCAATCTTCTCACCCCAATCCACCATTCTCCTTCCACATGCAAACCAATTTGTATATCAATTAAACATATTTTACATCGTCAGTAAATCACAATTATTTGATTTGTTTACATTTTTTTATTATTGTAACTTTAAAAAAAAATAGTATACTTAAATGATTATGATAGGTTGAAGATATGAAATTCTTAATGTACATGATCAACTAATTATTGATACCGATCTATAATTTACCAAATCACGCTTAAATTTTAAAATTATTTTAATGCTATAATAAATTATTAATTTTCTTATTAAATGACAGTATAAAATTATTTATGATGTCAGTATATATTAATTAAATTTATATTATTAAAGAAAATAATTTTTATGAAAAATTAATTATATTTTAAAAATGTGAAAGCAAACAAGATAAAGAAAGAAAAAAAAAGATAATAAGAGATTAAAACTACAACTAAGTATAATATTATTCAATATTATGTCACTTTTTAAAATTATTTTATTTTAAAATGAATTAAAATTTTATATTAATTTCTATCAAAAATATCGACACTCAACTAAAATTTAGAGAAATAAAACACATTTAAATTTATATTTTTAAAAACCTTCAATAAAAATGAAAAGAAAGAAAATTTTAAATTTATTTATTAGTTTTTTAAATTAAATTTATGAGATAGTTATGATAATAAAAAAAGAGAAAAAGTTTCATATTTATTTTTTAATTAATAAAACTTTACAATTGATTAGTATAAAACCACGTATTATATTTTTGTCTATCTAAAAATTAGTGCTAAAAAAATTTATGGATACTAAAGAGTTTTTCGGTTTTAGAAAAAAAATCTAATTTATAAATCAATTTACAGTTTTCGTAAAATATTAAAAAAAAATCTAATTACAGGCTTAGTAAAATATTAAAAAAATGAATATATATATTTTCATCATATTCTTTATTTTTTATTTATTGATACAAAATAAATTTCATTTTTTGAGTACTTTTTGTAATATTATTAATAAAAATAATTTTGACAATTGTTTGTTTCCATATAGAAAATTAATTATATTTAAAAAAAGTGAAATGGTAAAAAGCTAGAAAACAAATAAGGAAGAAAAAAAAGAGAAGAAAAAAATAAGCCCCTTTCCTTTGTTGCACTTAGATGCTATTGCTATCTGGTTGATCATCATTATTGATCATAATGGTAACCTCATAGATCATAATTACGATGATCAGTAATTGAAATCGTATCGTCAGCAGCACCATTCAAGAGGCAGTCATCGTCGTCGTACCATCATGTCGTTCTCGTTCTTTAAGGTTTCCAGGCCTAAAACGCCGCAGGAAGTGGTCAAGTCTATCAAAGAGAGTCTCGTCGCACTCGATACCAAAACCGTTGTTGAAGTTAAAGCCCTTGAGAAGGTTATAACCCTCCTCAGATTTATAATCCCCTTGTTTTCTATTTTCAATTGCTCTTTCTCGGTCTCTGTTTTTTCAGTTCTATTTTCTGTTTTTATTTTATTTTTTATTTTTTTTATATTATTTGTGTGTTTTGTTTTATAAATATATAATCAAAGTTTCGTATTACAGTGGGATGTAATTGTGAACAACTGTTTCACAAGTCAGGTTAATCATCTAAGAGGGTTGTGTCAGAGACTTTGCTCCATAACAGATTGTTTTATCTTTTGTTGTACACATTTATGCTTACGAGAATAATATTGTGTACAATTATTCCATGTTTGTTATACGTTTTGTAGGCTTTAGAGGAAGTTGAAAAGAATTTTGTTACAATGAGAACTATGCTCTCTGGAGATGGGGAATCAGAACCCAATTTGGATCAGGTTTCACAGCTTGTGGAGGAAATCTGCAAGGAGGAAGTTCTTACTCTCGTAATTCACAAGCTGCCTATACTTGGATGGGAAGTAAGATTAGATACAGAACACTATCATATGCATGCATTTTACTTAACTGGTTTCTCATTGTTGGTGCGTCAATTTTGATACAGGCTAGAAAGGATTTAGTCCACTGCTGGTCCATATTATTGAAACAAAAGGTTGACTCGAATGATTGCTGTGTAGAATACATTGAGCAACACTTTGAATTACTAGATGTTCTTGTTGTATAGTAAGATTCTTACTCCATCACCTTTTTTTGCTCCTCTTTCAATGTGGAATCACTATCATTACTAATTGCATTCAAGTTTGTTGGCTAAAATTGACGCTCTATGCCAAATTGAAAACATTGGATTTTGGTTTTTCTCTCGGTGTCTTTTGGACTCTTATTATGCATATTATTCATCTGGTGTGTATAGAATAGTTGATACATGATATAATAATGACTTGTTTTTGTGTTTCAATATTTTGCCAAAAATTTGACATGCTTTTTGTCAACATTACTATCTACTATTATCTTGTTTTATTGTTATGCATTACTTAGCAAAACACTGCAGTTAATTTTACTTCAAAATTTCAAATTTTGTAACTTATCAAAAGCATTTATTCTGTTAAAGCATTAACAAATGACCTTTCAGCTAAGTTTAAAGTAGAGTGAACCTCGTTGACCTTACACAAAATCATGGACGAAACCAAATTTTCTTCTTGTTGTTAAGGATTAGTTTGTAAATACATTGGAATCCTACATTCACTTTTATGTGCTCTAAAAGGTTTATGATGAAATTTTGGTGATAACAAGGGATTCAGGTAAATGGGAACAAGCTACTTGTGTTTGTATGCATTTTTCCATTCATGATACAAATTTGACCAAATTAAATTTACCTATGAAGCACAAACACCTTTAGGATTAGGCGTGTCGCAGTGTCTGACACGCGTTAGTGTCCAACACTTGTATGACACCCGTATGAAACGTTTCGGAAAATTCAGACCAGTGCCGGAAATGTGGTTGCCGACGTGTCAGTGTTTGTGCCGTGTCCCGGTGTCCGTGTCGGAGTCTCGGCTTCATAGAAATTTACACCTAGAATATTACTGAGATATAACATCTCTATGTAAGTAGACAATTGTCTAGTGCTATGTGATCAATACGGTTAATTTTAGTAGCTGACATCTCTGTATTATTTCCAAGCAGCTATGATAACAAAGAAATTGCGTTGAGCTCTGGCATAATGTTGCGGGAGTGCATCAAATTTCCCAATCTCGCAAAGTAAGATATATTCGGTTGTCATCAGATGCTCTTTTCCTTAATTTTTCTGTTCTCTTTTAAATCGTTCTGATATCTTCATTGTAAACTCAAATTGATTCTGCCAAGATTTTGTTGTGCATTTTTGTGAACAGGAAATAGCAAGTCAGTTGCATTGTTTTAACTTTCTGACTTTTTGGGTGTTTTCAGATACATATTGGAATCTGCAAGCTTTGCGTTGTTCTTTAAATTTGTAGAGTTGCCTAACTTTGATGTATCATCTGATGCATTTTCTACATTTAAGGTCAGATTTGAATTCTTTCTCGCTTCTTCAAGTCTTTATAATGTGCCTACAGCTACTTCATACATCTCTTTTGGATATGTTTGTTTTGCAGGACCTTCTCACTAAACATGGAAATGTGGTTGCCGAATTTTTGACGGCTCACTATGATGAGGTTTGCGCCCTCCTTGGCATACTTATCTTATTTGAACATATCAAGGCAGCACAAAATGCAGCTTGAGAAACAATTATGCTCATGTTCATGAAGCATACTATGAACTCAATGATTGTAGTTGTGGCACTTCACTCGGTTATACTCATGTTTTTCTAATAGGACTTCTTGTTCTCAGTTCTTTGATCAATACGAGAACCTTTTGACGTCTCCTAATTACGTCACAAGGAGGCAGTCTATAAAGGTCTGTTCTGTTCTGCCAACAATTTTAAAATGCTTTTGTTTTCTGTTCATTTTTAACAACTAAATTTATATGGATTGTAGCTTCTCTCGGATTTTCTTCTGGAATCTCCCAATGCTCAGATAATGAAGCGCTACATCTTAGAAGTTCGTTATTTGAAAGTTATGATGAGATTGTTGACGGTATAACTCCTCTTAATCTTGTGTCATTGTGCGATACTCCTGTTTTTCCACACGATTGATTAACATGCTTACATGGTTGAGCAGGATTCAAGTAAAAACATTCAGTTATCAGTTTTTCACATTTTCAAGGTGATTTTCCCCCTTCATGTTTTCAAGTTAATTGACTCATGTGTGCATTTCGATCTTTGTTTTATTTATTCTTATTACATGTTTATCCAGATTTTTGTTGCGAATCCTAATAAGCCTCGAGACGTGAAAATTATTCTGGGGAAGAACCAGGAGAAGCTGCTAGGGTTGCTTCATAGCCTATCGCCGGGAAAAGGTTATTAAGTTTTTAGTTGATTCAAAACATGTTCTTATGTAATCTATCTTTTTCGAGTTACTAATCTCAACTTTTTTTCTTTCTTTTCGGTTTTCAGGTTCTGAAGATGAGCAATTTGAAGAGGAAAAGGAGTTTATCATCAAGGAAATTGAAAGAATATCTGTATAAGAAATTTGATGCAAGGATTTCATATTGGTGTATGTGAGCAACTAATGAGTTTTTATGTGGACAAGACACCATTTTTGTTTGTATTGTAAATTGTAATACAAACTAAATTTAAGGCATAAACCAATAACATACATTGCTTTGATACGAATAGTAATTAGGTGACTTCTTATTACAAAAATAGCAATTAGCTTAAACTTAACACCATCTTGGCTGAATCCAAGTACCAGTCAAGTGTTCTCTGACATGATGAAAATTGACCACTTGATCATTTTGGAATGTGTGGTAGTTGTTTGTTTCTAAAGAATAAAACACAAGATCCTGCCCATAAAATCTTGAAAAATAAATTTTATTTTCCATTCCAGGAATGTTTGCCACAGCAGAAAAGGATGTTTTACCAACAAAAAGCATGTGATTTTTTAGGCTTTTAACTTTGCTCCATGTCATTGTAGACTCATTCAACTTGAAGACTTGAACCCCCTTTGCAAAAGGACTCTCAAATACTGACAATAGATTTCCATCACATTCAACTAGAAAGTTGTTGAAGTAAGTACTACATGGAGCTTGAGGCTCCTCAAGTACTTTCCAGCTATAATGTTCTCTTGTTGCTTGTACTACTGCTAACTTTCCTGTTATGCTAAGAAAATAAAATAATCCATTATGAAAAGCAGGACTTACGTTGTAGACAGTAAATTCCCTGTCTTCAACTCTGAAAAAACCACGAACGTCTTCCCAAAGGTGTTGTACATGTCCTACTGTAAAGGGTAATATTGAGAATCCTTTATCCAACTGAACAGTCACACATTCTGAAGAGGCGGGAGAATGCGACATGCCAAAACACCTGCTATTTTGGATGGATTTATGCGAAAGTGGTAGCACTTGTTTGGTAAAAGGATTGAAAAAAACTTGAAATTTTTTGTTAAGTGACACCACCATTAATAGCCAACCATCTTTTGAATAAAAATTATCTGAATTCAAGCTAAAATCATTATGTTGACGAAAGTTTATGCTGTATTTGTAGTCGAGACCATGCTTCGGATTCACAAAAGCGAGGACATTGTCCTTTGAGAACACGAATAAAGGACACATTGAGCGATCGTCAAACCTTGACTTGGAAGAAGATGATCTCCATTGAATCGATGGTGTGGCCAGACGAAGGAATTTATTGCTAGCCCGAAAATGCATATAATCAAGCACACCATTAATATGTTTTGCAATCAATTCAACCACTTCTAGGGGAAGTACACATTCATTATGAGTTTTTTCTTCTGCATCCTTTAAATTGACTACATCACATATACTTTTTTTCTCTCTGATTATTTCTTCCAGTGTAGTAGCCATCCTACAAAACATATAATCAAATTTAAAATAGTTCTTATATAAGGACTAACATATTCAAAATGTGAAAAGAAAGTACCATGTATCTGGCGGCATGAACCATCTTGCATAAGACCGATTTTCTGATAAATGAGAGAAATGCTGACAAGTTACAAGACAACTGTCGTTGATGTTGTAAATATAGACAAAATCGCAGTCTTTGAGGGCGATATATACGCGACCTCCTTCAGTTTCTTGATTAATTGCTTCACAAGCAAATGCCGAGTCAAGACTGGATATATAGAACACTTTATCCTTGATGCTTTCCACCTTTTCCCACGTTCTTGGAGAAGAATCAAATTTGAAAACAAAAACTGCAGTAACCCTATCTCGTTCATGGCAAATTTCTACTCGAAAAAGTAGGTTATTGAAACCAATCAAGTGACTAATGAGTTGATGAAAACTAGTTGGTTCATGTTTTACCATGAGATCAGTTGTGCAGTTTACTGTAAAGCCATTCAGAACTTTTTCAATAACTACTATAATAGAATCGTACTCGTACTGAGTCGACAACCCCGCATAGACGCGGCCATTGCAGTAAACTGGGTTATCAAAATAGGCTATATTTCGCTGCATAAGTGCTTTACCCTGCATGGCTAAAGCTGTCACAATATGTTTATAAAAGTGCGCTTCAGTCCATTGCTTATCTCCAAGTTGGTAGTAAAGTATTGAAAGGTTATGTGATGGAAATAAAAATACGGAGCATGTTTGATCATTTGTATTAGATGGAGGAGATGACAAAATGCAACTACTAAAATTAGTGTCATTGTGTTTAAGAGGTGGGAGCATGATTTTGTTAAGGTGTGTGGATTCCAAAGAAACAAGTTACTAACATATTTTGATAACTTGTTTTCCCAAAGATACCATCCATGTTGTACCGTTAATAGCATCGATTCGCTCAATGCTGAATTCCATGTGCAGTAGAATTTTGATGGATCTGATATGCTGCAAAAGATTTGATGAGTTTGATGAGTCCTTAGGGCTTCACTAGTGAAATACATAAGCAAAGGTTTTCTATCTCCTTCATTCTCGGCACTTGTCTCTTTCTGCATCATACAACAAACTAATTTAATATAGTGTAAATACCTATGCAAGTATCAACTGAATGGAATAAACACAGATAAGTTAGAATAAATTTTAATTCAATACAAAAAATCACTAGTTGATCGAGTAGTAATTAGCGCTGGACTTTATAGGAAAGACTACAGTTTGATCCGCAACTGTGATCAGAACATATTTAAAGTAACAAACAAATCATAAAATTTATTACTAAATCAATTAACATTATTATGATTTATATCATCAATTATAATTTAACTAATTCGTATTAATATTGATTATGAAATAACAATTAAATTTATATTAGATTATATTTTTTGAATTTAAATAAATTTTATGTCCAAGCTTTTGGATCATAACTCTTTGTTTTACATTATTCAATTTAGTTTTCTAAAGCACACAAAGGAGAGCGTGGATATGCTGCCCTATTTTTAAAGTTAATTTTATCTTCAATCATTTGATTCTAAGTATTGTATTCTTTAAAGATAAATTTAATCAAATAAAAAAAAATTAATTGGGATGTAGCAAGAGTCTCAACCAATGAATTTTTTTTTGAAATAATCATGTATTAAATTTTTTTTGTAAATAATCATGTTTCGGAAAAAATTACACAAATAACCATGTTTCAGAAAACTCTCCAAGGGAGGAGCCATCTCACTTGGTGCCTGCACCTAATTTTTAAAGGGAGACGCCCTCTCACTTGGCGCCTAGGTGTTAAGGGCTTGTCCTAAGCCAAGTGAGATGGCGCCTTAGTGCAATTGGAAGACAAATTTTCGCGTTTTTTTTCTCAATGCGGTGCATTACGTATTCGATATAGGATCAACAAAATTGACTTTTTATTTACAAAATATGATTACACACATAACTATTACATAAAAAAAACAGTTTAATCAGTGGTCCCCCCGGAACCCGGTAATGACTCCCGATTCCGCATCCCCGTCCTCGCCTTTCCCGTGCTGGGTTTCGTCGTATTTCCTGTTGTGACAGGGTCGATGGCCCAGCGAAGTCAATGTGTTCCAGATCCATGAAATCAGTCAGATCTCCATATCTAGAAGATCCGCTTTGGTACAATCGGTTACCCATACCCTCAAAGTTTGGTCGTGTTGGTGGTGAGTGAGGTTCCATGGTTGGTCTGTAGCACTGGTCGTCTGAGTACGGGGGGTAGAAAGGAAATAGATCTTGGGGTGTTTGGTATTGAGGATGTTGGGTGGTTTGGTGATGTTGTGGTTGATGGTAAGTTGGGTCGGTTGGTTCATAATCTTCGGACAATCCCAGATCAGGGCTAAGGTTGGATGTTGAGGGGCCCATATTGGGATATGCAGAAGATTAAAATTGTGTGTGGGGTATGCGAATGTGTTGGTATTGTGATTGAAATTGTGGTTGGGTGTGAGGCATATGGGGGTATTGGTACTGAGGTGGTGATTGTGGTTGGTTGTGGGGCATGTGAGTGTAATTGTATTGTGGTGGTGACTGTGGTTGGGTGTTTGTGGTTTTGTTTCGTCGGAGGGTTGGTGGGAGGTTGATGTGTGTTGGGTTTGTTGTTGGGGAAATGAGGGTTGTGCCATTGTGTTCGTGGGTCAACCAAATACCTTGGATGAGACACGTGCATTTCAGGGGTACTAACCGATCTGTACCAAGATAAATATTGATCCGTGTGTCGCATATTACCATGGTTGAGGAAAACTGGGAATTGCAAGACATGTCGGTGATGCCTCTGCCACATCTTACACCATTCTGGAGCAAAGTCTTTCCAGTTGGTAAGACCCCATTTGGCGTCGACCCTTTTGAGATGCCATGGGGACAAACAAGTCAGATCGTTGGGTATCTCTTGATGCATTCCAAACTGCATCTTTACACGGTCGCTGTGGTGCATCTCCACAACATTGAACTGTATGATTGCAGTCTTTGCGCTCCAAATTACTGCATCCTCAGGGTTTGGTTCATGGCCCAAACCCAAATATGGTCTCCAGACAAACTGCAGATAAAATTAAATCAGGTTAATGAAAATGTAATATATAAATAATTTAAAAGTAGAAAAGTTGAAAGGTACGACGTACATCATCCGGGCCAAACTGATCCAATAGATTATGGTATAGTGCGACATTGAATCATGGATTCTTGCCGCAATCCATACCCCTCACGCAATACCTAAAGGAAATGAAAAATATTTTATTTTTATCATATATTTGGTGAAGAGATGAATAGTAATAAATGATATAACTTGATGACTTACTTTGTTGTGTATGGAAAAATGAATGTGTTGTTGTTGACGGGGTTTAAGGACTCCATCCTCCACCAACCCCAGGCTTGAAGTAAAAAAGCGCAGCCATAAAATGTACATTTTTCCTTGATTGTATTTTTACACAAGGAACTGTATAGATGGACTAAAACAACATAACCCCAACTATACTTTCTAGTTTTTTCGAAGTCTCTAAGTAAATTTAAATACATAAAATTTACACTATTTCCCGTACTTTCGGGAAATAAAAAGGTTCCAAATAGTATCATTATATAAGTTCTAGCTTTTATTACCTTAGCTAGCTCGAAGGAATTTTCGTTCAATTCCA